CTGCCCGGCTGCAGCGCTGGGACCCCCCGCTCCCGCCTGCTCCCCACCCTGCCCAGGCCGCGCGTACCTCTCTCCTTCCCCAGGAAGCGGAGGGCTGCAATTTCAGAGAAGGTGCAGCCCCCCAGGAAGACAGCGAGGACAACACGCTGGGACTCGCAGGCAGGGTTGTCCTCCACGGTGCTGTCTGGAGAGCGAAGAGCGCTGTAGGAATGGCAGCTGCCAGCCCGCCGCCCCCAGCCCCCAGCACTACCTGAGACACAAAACTCGTTGCCATTGAGCAGTCGCACAACCTCCTCCAGGCCCTGCCAGCCGCGGCGCTCCAGCACCTGAGGGACGGGCAGGGTGTCAGGCTGGCTGCTGGACACTGCCCAGGAGCTCCGAGCAGTGGGTGACCACCACCCACCCCAGTCCTGGGCAGAGGGGCCGCTGCTGCGCTCCCCAGGAGGAGGCAGGGGCTTTGAGGGGATGTGCCTGGTTCTCTCCAGCAGCAAATGAACTCACCTGCTCGATGATCTTGCAGCTCAGGGGTACATAGGCCCCGCCAAAAACATACGCCATGTCCCGAGGCATTTTGAGGTCATACTCGCCATCCAGCCGAGGGATCTGCAGTGACAGGTGACTAGAAGGGTACAGGACCAGGCTGCCTGGGGCCTCACCACCCCTCAGAGGTACAGAGGTGAGGAGGGACAGACACTTGGAACTCTGTCCCCACCTCCCACCCACTGTGCCAGAGCCAGCACCACATGGCCTGGGGGGGCTGTGCAGCAGGGGCCAGGGACAGAAATGTCACCTTGCCAGCACCCCAGGACCTCTGCCTCAGGACACAAGGCTGCATGCCCAGTGCCACTGCTGTGTTGGAAGGGGGCAAGGAAGTGCTGCAAGCACACTCACAGGGCACAGGGTCAGGGAAGAGTGGGCCCCCAGCCCTGAGGAGAAGCCTACAGACTGCCTGGAGCAGCTGCAGCAGCTCTGGACCTGAGCTGTGTCCCCCCGAGGTGCCAATCTGCAGCCTGGGCACGGGCACAGGCTAAGCACAGCTCTCTGCTCTGTGGGCACAGCGGCCAGCCAACACCCCTTGAGGACGTACCAACCCCAGCTTCTTGCTTATGGCTCGGAAATTACTCTTCCTGGCCAAAGAATTAAATGCGTCTGTGATCTTTCCTGGAAAACATGACAAGGAGAAACATCTGAAGAGGCTCTGTCTGGATCTGGCAGAGATGTGCAGAGCTGTGTGCTCTGGAGGATGGCTGTGGTGTCTGCCAGCCCTGCTGTCCCCACAGCAGAGCGCCCTGCGCCGCCTGCAGCAGCATCGCTGGAGTCACGCTCGGTGCTCGCAGCCCACACGTTTGCCACGTGCTTGCAGCCAGACCTGCGGCAGCAGCTCCCCTTCCCAGGCTCCCAGGGACAGTGGGCTGGCTCACCTGCAGCACGGTCTGTCACCAGCTTGCTGACTTTGCTCTCCACTGCTGTCAGGGTCTCCCCAGCTGACTGCTCCGTCAGCAGCCCGATGCGCTTGAGGTTGTGGAAGGTCAGCAAGTGCTCAGGCCCGTAGCTCTGTGAAGGGGGCAGCCAGATCAGTGTGGAACAGCAAGGGAAGCAGACAGGGTGTCCCTCTGCGGCCTCAGAGCCCCCCAGCAAGCACAGGGCAGGGGCAGGTGGAGCCTGGGGCTCGCATGGAGCCTGTGGAGGCAGGGCCCATCCCCAGGAGCGCTGCTGCCCAGCACCTCATGGCCAGAACCACGGCGAGAGGAACCCCATTCGACACAGCTCTTGCTCTGCAGTGACTCCTTGGGCCCTCACCTGCAGGTACTGTGTTTTCAGGGAGCGGTAGTCCTTGGGGACCAGACCTGTGGGGAGCAGCAGGTGAGCTCTGTGCCAGGGCTGGGGCCTGGTGCCGCTGCTGTGGCCCAGCACAGCGGGGCACTCACCGTTTTCTGTGATGGACAGGAGGCACATGAGGCGCAGGCTCTCGATGGGGGACACCTGTGGGGAGCGGGGTTAGGGGGGCAGGCCAGGCCAGCTGGAGCAGGTCTCACCTGCCGGTCTCACCTGCCGGTCAATGTGCTCCTCGATGAAGCTGGTGCTCTCACGGATGTCAAAGCCCTCCAGCAGTGCTGTGGCAGGGGCACAGGCAGCATCACCCCACTTGCCAGCCCACTGAGCTGGTCTCTGGGCTCTGCTGCCCTCCCAATGCCCCACCCCACCACACATTCCCTCTCAAGAGAGTGCAGCCAGACCCTACTTAGGATCTTGAGACACCCCCGAAACAAAGGGACTGTGAGGACGGTGGCCACACAGGCAATACTCAGGCATGAGGCTCCCTGGGCCTGGGGCAAGCGAGGCCATGGGTCAGACTGGGGCAGGGACAGGGCATGGAGCAGCACTCACCGTGTTCAGCCTTGATGGTCTCCTGGAAGTCCTGCTTGGTTTTCTTTTTCATGATAGACTCACAGGCACCAATATCTACACAGCCAAGAGACACAGTGGCTTTGGAGGGGACAGGGCTCAAGGGCTCGGCAGGCAGATAGCACAAGCCACCAGCCCCTGCCCTGCCCCTGCTGGGCACATCCAGGGCTCCCCAAACCCCCACTTTCCCCAGAGCTCCAGCACTTGCAGTACAGCCAAGGGCCCCTCCCTCCCCGCAGGTTCCTACGCAGGCTCAGCAGGCGATGCTCCTGCTTCAGTCCCTTCAGCTCCTGGGACACAAAGTCCTTCATCTGCTTGATGTCCATGCCCCGGCGCCGCTGCAGGAGGGAGAGCACAGGGCTGGTGAGGCTGTGAGGGACAGTGCCGCAGGTGTCCTGCACGCCAGGGTGACACTCACGTCGTACTGTGCCTGCAGGTTCCGTGACTTCTGGCTCAGGAAGCCAAACACGCTGGAGAAGTGCTCATTCCGAATCTGGCTGAACACCTGTGGAAGCCCAGCCAGCTGCAGCCCTGCAAACACAGACCCCAGGGCCAACTCCCCCAGCAACCCGCACAGCACGCTGGCCACGTGCCACCCCGCGCCCCAAAACCCCGGCACAGCAGCCTGTGTCGCTGTGTCCCTCCCTGCCCGGCCACACCACCATCTGAGAAATGTTCCTCAGGGATCAGCCTTGATGAATAGCACATGGCTGCTCCCCAGTTTAGCAGAAACACTCTTTCTAGGAACTAGTACTGTCTAAGCAGGTCCTGTTTTTTAATGAACAGCTGGGAAATTTATTTTTGTAACCTGAATAAAAACCCAAGTGGAGTCATATTTTCATTGTCAAGTCCCATACTTAAATACCAACCTGAACTGTGGCCAGGATGGAAAATTACTATGAACCTTGTGACTCAACAGGAGGCTCTTCCATCTTCCTTTCCAGCCTTACCCTTTCCTATCCTTTTGATTCTCCCCTCATTTCCCACCTCCACCTCCATGTAGATATTTCTGGGTTGATTTTATTTTAGATTGATCAATTTGTAATTTTTATTTTCTTTTCATCTGTGTGTTTTAACCTTTTAGAACTTTGCCAGCTAATTTGGTCATGCTGCAGCTTTTATGTTAAACTCGTTTTTGCGGATACCTTTTCTGGTGATTCCTTCAGCAACTTTAAAAGAGTCATTTGTGACACAGCCCTGCATGCAGGGACTCTGCCAGATTCAGAAGTGGAGCTGCACCTGCACACTGGGTTTCTCTGGTCTCTGTGCCCAAACCCATGCTCTGGGGGCCCAGCAGCCCCCAGCCACTCCTGCTCAAGCTTGGGGGAAGGAATGGTCCACTCTGCCTCCTCCCACCAAGGGGACTCCCCCAAGGCTCATGAGGACTCACTTTGTCCTGGGAATTGAGCAGCACCTTAATGCTCTTGTCAGAAGAGGTGACATCTGGCCCAAAATCCACACTACCTGCAGGGAAAAGTGAAGAGCTGCTTTGTCCCAAACATAGCAAAACTCCCACATGCACAAGCCTTGCTGTGAGACAGGGGATGCCAGCCCAGTCTCTTGGTTAAAGTGAGGACTGTCCCTATGGATGACCTCCAGCAGCACCACCTATTGAGACTGTCCCTGTAGGAACAGCACTGTGCCTGACAATACCAGGCACAAACCCTGCAGATGCTGGCCAGGTGAGCACAGAGCTCTGTTTTGCCCCATTCTGAGCACAGAGCTCTGTTCTGCCCCATTCTGAGCACAGAGCTCTGTTCTGCCCTGTTGCTGTTCCCAAGTCACCTACCACACTTGATGCGGAAGGTGTCGTCCACGAGCCCCTCGTAGACCACTTGGGAGCAGAGTGCTGTCACGTAGTCGGTGTCTGCAAGGAGAGCCGGAGCCAGGCTGCTCTCCCATTCCTCCTGCTACCCCACACAGTCCCTGTCCCTCTGAGAGACCTGCTGCCCAAATCGTACCCTCTGTCCTTGCCTCAGCCCACCTCTGTCCATGAGGAAGACGTGTCCAATCTCAGGCTTCCTGCCCTGGCCTTCACTCTCACTTTCCTCCTCCAAGTCCCGCCACAGCTCGTAGCTCATCTGTGAGGAGCAGAGGGTGCCAGGGCTGGGGAGCAGCCCCAGGCTCCCGCCAAGGGCCCTGGCACAAAGTGGGGCTGACAACCAAGGCCAGGCTCCCTCTGTCAGGGCATGGGGGGCCCACCACACCCCAGCGAGCAGCAGCCGCCCCTCCGCTGCCCACCTTAGCATATGGAACCCCCCTGAAAAACCTGCCCAGAAGGAGGCACAGCACAGTGACACCTCTGTGGTGACGTGCTGCCATGTGGCTGATGGGGTCCAGGTCCCTGCAAGCCGTGCCGCTGATGGGGACCCAAGGGACTCCTGGTGCCAGCCACACCTTAGCACAGCGGCCGATGCCATAAGTCTTCCCAAAGGGGCCATAAAGGGAGTTCAGCAGCTGCAGGGCTCTGGCAACAGGGTTGATCCAGCGATGATCTCCCTCCTGCAGGACAAGGGAGTGTGGGCAGCCAGCTGGGAAGGTCTGCCATGGCAGGGGATTGGGCTGGGCACTGAGCTGGGAGCTTCATCCCAGGAACACAACAGGATGCCCCGAAGCTGCTCAGCTGGTGACACAGAGGCCAGCTTGGGGTCACTCCCCAACAAAAGCTGCCCCTGGGGAGTAGACAGGGCCCATGGTGCAGACTGAGGGGCTGAGCAGGATGCCACACACCTCTCTGAACAGCACCTTGTCCCAGCCCTGGGGAGGCACAGGGGACAGGATGGTGCTGTCACCTCACCACAGTGCCCCACTGACCAGAAAGTAGTCACGGAAGAACTCAGGCAGCTCCATGCTAATGATGTCTTCATCCAGGGGCAGCAGGTAGAAGGACCATTCATCGCAGGTGACATCTGTGTTTGGAACAAGGATAGGGGACAGTTATGCAGCCCTGGGCAGGAAGAGCCCCAAGAATCACAGCAGCCCCAAAACAGGGCCTGTTGAGCTTCAGACAGGATGGGTGGCAGGAGCCTGTCTCCTCTCCTCAGGCAGAAGAGGGGCCGATGCTGTGCGGGCACACATCTGCCTGCAGGCCAGCAGCCAGCCTCAAGAGAACTGTGTTCCCTGCCCACCTTCCTGTCCCTCCGCACACAGGGATCCCAGCACTAGAATTTAACTGGGATCCTGCCGTGTCAGCTACCCCGAGCCAGCGCCGCAGCTCCACTCACCACCAAAGACCCCCTCTTCCTCCAGCACCATCTCGCAAGCATAGAACTGGAAGGAAAGGGAAGACCCTCAGGGCCATGCAGGCTCTAAGCAGGAAAAGCTCTGGAGGGGCCCAGCACCTTCCCAGGTGTAATAACACTCGAGTTTACATAAACGTTTCTGCGTTAAAAACAAATTTTGATATCTATAGAAGTGTGGAAGGTGCAAAGGCTGGGCAAGCACAGAGTGACAGGGGAATGGGCAGCACTGTGTGTCCCACTGACCTTCTGGGGGCTGAAGATGATTTTGTACTTCCTGCTCCTCCCTGACATCTTGTCAGCGTTGACAATATCTGTGGACACCCCGCACAGCTGCCCACCCTGCCGGGCACAGCTCCCCTCGGCACACGCAGCCCGATGGCCCCAGGCACAAGTGACACCGGGGAGCGGGACTCGCCGAGAGCCCCTCAGGCCCGGGCACAGCGGT